TATTATTATTGTTGTTTTCTTACCACATATTACTGTGCTTTTTTCGCGAACGTATAGAGAGATCTGGAAGGAGAGGACAGAGTAGCCTCCCCATCCCCTACTATTCTGATTATTTTTTGTCGTGTAGTTGGAAAGGAGCCTCGTTCCCCCGCGATAAGAGCTCGGGAAAGATTGCCGAGTGTATCCCGTTCCCCTTTAAACCTCTGTTTCTCGTTCAGTCTATTTTACTCCCAGTTTCCGCGCGGAGGAAGCTGCAGTGCCATTTCGAGGCATCGCATCGGCATCCACTTGGAAATCTCAATGAGCATTCACGGGCACAGGGCCCTCCTTGTTGGCGTCCCCTTTGATGCACGGTGCCCTCCCTACCTGCTGCCCCGCCACGCCGTACGTGCCACGGCCGCCGGTCTGTTGTCTTTAAGGCTGGGTCGTGTTTTTTTTTTTAGATTATTTGCATGGCACCAACGACTGGGGTGCATTGTGGGTTCATCCACGTGTTTGCACGTACATACGCACAGACATACATGCACACACACATACACACACACACGTGTGTGTGTCTGTGTGTGTGTGTGTGTGTGTGTATGTGTATGTGTATGAGAGGAATGCGTATTGTTCTGCTAAACTGTGTGCAGAATCCATCACTTGAGAGGTTATGATGGAAAAGTGATAGGATCCCGTGCCTCGCTGGAGTGTGCTAAATATAGGAGAATATTTAATGCACGACCATCCAGAATCGATGAGGCCGTCTCCTTCATACACAGCTCGGCTCGGTGCGTGCGTGCGTGTTCGGGCAAAAGAGTAGCCCAATGCCTTGCTCCCTCTGTTTATCTTCCTCTCGTTTGCCCCCCCCCCCCCCCTTCTCTCTCTCTCTCTCTCTCTCTCTCTCTCTCTCTCTCTCTCTCTCTCTCTCTCTCTCTCTCTCTCTCTCTCTCTCTCTCTCTCGTCGCGATTAGTGTGAGGCCTTGATTTTTTTCTTTCTTTCTTGTTTCCTTTTTTCTTCTTTTTACGCGAGTCGAGCGCTACGGAGCCCTGAAGCCGGAAGTCCCGCTTGGAGATAAGCCTCTCGTCGGAGCAAGGGCCTCCTCGTCGTCAGGCTTGTGTTTTGGAGAGGAGCTTCGTAAGTGGTGGTGTGGGGGAGGGGGGAGATGCCCCGATTAGTCTTCATCAGGGAGATCGTATATGTTGGATGCTGTGCCTGATTTGTCCTTTGAGGTTCGGTCTCCTCTCTTTTCCTTCCGTCGCCCGCACTCTGATGTTCTCTCTCTCTCTCTCTCTCTCTCTCTCTCTCTCTCTCTCTCTCTCTCTCTCTCTCTCTCTCTCTCTCTCTTACATAGATGTGCTTATTAATACTTATGTCTATTGTGTGTGTTGTTTAGAGTAGATATGTTGGTTTTATACACATGCAAACATATTTGTTTATTGATATTTAAGTATACCTATGCATATACGTATGAATGTATGTAGCTCCCATATGCAAGAGGCACGATTGGCGTTGCTTCCCCCGCAGCGAGCGCCGTGGAGGGTCAGCGAGTAGTCCACGTTATTGAATTGTGTGGCGAGCGGAGGAGGAGGTGGTGGTGGTGGAGTTGGAGGTGGAGGAGGAGGAGGTGGTGTCGGTGGCGGACTGGTCTCGCAGGTCCCGGGCAAGTTTCTGAATGCCAGCTGCAGATGCATCAGCTGGTAACCGAAGGCCGGCGGTCCTGCGTTGGTGCTGGCAGTGGGGAGGTTGGGGGGGGGGGGGGGGTCCGAACCAGCTTTCGCAAATGCAGTTTGGTTATGTTGTCGGCGTAGGGTGTATGTTGTGTGCCTACTTATGTGAACAGACACATGTATTATATATACATATATAAATGTATGTATAAATATGTATATGTATATATGTATGAATGTATGTAAACACACATGATTGTATACGCTACGTTTCTCACGTTTCTGGCATAGAATAGACCCGTCCTGAATCTTGACTGACGATCAACCGACGGAACCCCAGGAGGGACGGGTTGGGTGCTGAAGCAAGCAGAATCGTGCACGGCTTCGAGCACGGTTCAGAAGGGAGCAGGGACGAGCAGGGCGAAGGACAGTCCAGTGGTGGGGGGGGTAACTGCCTTCCCACCCACCTGAAGCAGAGGGCAGGCGAGGCAGGGGGAGGAAGATAACTGCCTTCCCACCCTTCCAAGACCCGGGAGGAGGGGAGGGCTAATGGCCACAGGGTTGTCTGTGTATTGCTCGGGCCTCGTCTATTGATTGTATGTAATGGAGAGGTTGGTTTCTGCGTCCCGAAGTCTGGTCAGCTGGCCATTATTCTCGTCGGGCGGACTCTCGAGGGGCCGCCCCGTGCTTCCATTTCTGTGGCCTCGGCGCTTTTGGGAAAGTTAATTTCTAATCTGCCCTGCATCGTAAATATTGGAGATTAGGCGTGTGTTCTGGCCGACGCAGTTTTCTTCTCTCTCTCTCTCTCTCTCTCTCTCTCTCTCTCTCTCTCTCTCTCTCTCTCTCTCCCCCCCCCCTCTCTCTCCCGCCCCTCTCTCTCTCCCGCCTCTCTCTCTCTCTCTCTCTCTCTCTCTCTCTCTCTCTCTCTCTCTCTCTCTCTCTCTCTCTCTCTCTCTCTCTCTCTACCCCTCTCCCTCCCTCCTTCCCAAGTCATGCGTCAAGTCGTGCTCATGCGTGTGTATGTTTTATGTATACACGTATCTACATACATTATAGGTTTATACGCATAT